TTCTCTCCAAGTACCAGTAGCAATATAGATGGGACAAAATTGACCAGGAGTTGCTAATAGTTGGAGCCATGTGATGGAAATTTACTGATTCATTGTATCAGTCTCTTTACTTTTGTGTATTTTAGATTTTCTATATAAGCTTGAAACAAGAGAGAAATAATGGTGATAGCCTAAAATTAGTGGTAGATTCAGGAAGAAATATATATATCATCAAGGATTTACTTGAGTAAACTGTTTTAAAAACTACAAGATAATTCATATAAACATCACTATGAATAAATGGTTTCACCTTCTTCCTTACTATGAAACTTAATAAGCATGTTCCCCTGACCTTCACAGTCAGTGTGGCAGATGAATTTCCAAAGATGTCCAAACAGTGTTCAGTCCTGTTTGCAATGTGACTTTGCCACACCTTCCAGTGAGTAATGGGGGTCGTGGACCCTTTTGCACCTACGAGGGCTTATGACTCTGACAGGAGCCATATTGTTATATAGGCTATGCTGTAAAGCTAAGAGCTTCTCCTGGATTTCTTTGTATACTTGCTCCTACAATCCCACGTCCCACTGTGAGGAAGCCCGATCCTCGCTTACAGTGCTGTATTGAACACCACGCATAGGAGTTCCAGCTTCACATCTGCTTAGGACTGTGAGCCAGGGTCAACCTCCAGGCAAATGGAGAGTGCATGAGCTTCTCAATGATCAGCCCACCCATCTGGTCACCCGTAGCTTCTCAGTCTCCCCTGCTGAGGCCCCTCATGCCATGGTGCTGACAAACCTTCTCTGCTGTCACCATTCTGAGTACTTTTCCATAGAATCAATCGGCATCATAAAATGTTGAGTTATGCCACTGTGTTTGGTGTTTCACAGCACCAGTTACTGAAACACGCAGTATCTTAGTGAGGGAGAAAAGCATGTTATTTTTCAGAGACCATTTTTTCCCCCTTGCTCAGAAGCTACATACACACTCAATGACTTGTGTTTTGATGAAAAATTTTGCAATTGCCATCAACATGATAATGTCCAAATCAGGAAGTGTATAGTGGATTATCTGTTGTTATCTGAATTGGGTAGTTGTGGCTGGGCAGTCAGGTGTGTCTTATTCTTCTTTCTCTACTACTCCCCTTTATCTGGACTTCTTCCCCCTGCTGGACTTTTAGTATTATGGCTCTTTGCCCTTTTTGTCTTCTCCCCTTTATACTGATTGGATTATAGAATGCTCTGAAGTCTAGACAAAGAAAAGGATATCACGGAGCCTTTCTAGCCTGAGTCTTTGCTGCTTTTACTATGAAAACCATACTGTTTGTTGCTGCACATGTCACTGCTGCTCCTTCTGTCGGCTTCCGTCCCACTCACTCCATATTGTACTGTGGGAAAAAAGTCCATTTTTTTCAGTGATAAAACAGAATAAAAAATGGTTCAGAGCTTCTCCTTTCCATGTGTACAACACATCTAAGACCTGTGTTATACCCTGTATACAAGATGTTTTTACCCAAGGGTGTATCAGAACATCTGCCAGCTGTGACTCTGTGTATAGATTCCATTTCTTGGGCTCTATGATGCATTCACGAACATTTTCTGTGTTATTAAATATTTTATAATATGCACACATATATGATACTAGTTGCTCTTCTACGCTTTTGTCACGGATATCCTATGACATGTCAGTCTCATAATAATTGAATTTTGCTAATAGTCCATTCCGTTTTCTCAAAAGCTTCCTTTAGGTCCTCAACTTAGTGGATAATTTTACAAGATTCTCCTAAGTTGTATAATATTTTTACTTTAGAATATGCTTCCTCCAAGATATACCTCTAAATGATGAGTGCATTCATTCCTCCAATGATATAATTAAGATGTGCTTTGAAAGATATTATTTTGTTGCATATTATAGGGGAAAAAACTGCATTAGAAATATCCCTATTCATGATCTCCTGCTTGAAGGTCAATAAGCTGTCCCTGATAAAACAAACATTGTGTGTGAAAATGTTATCTGCCTCTATTATAACAGAATGAATTTTAACGTATTATTCATCAACCTAACCCCAACCAATTTCCTAAAAAAGTAGCTAAAATACAGTCAGACACCTGTTACAAATAACAAAGCATCATGTTAAAATGAAATGCTTATAATGTTACTTCTGAATCTTCAAACATTTAACTGATTCATATGCAAGAGTGGATGGATTTTGCCCAATATACTATCAATGTTACATTTATGACATGGAATGAGAAATGATACACTCAACAAATAAAATCCATGCAAAAATGCTGGTAGATATGTAGAATTAAAGAAGATAATTTCCTATTGTGGTCTATTTGGTGAGGTAGAAACAGAGCTAAAAGAAAATGTAAGAATGGAGGAGAGGGTGAATTGAATCAGTCCTCTTGGTTGAGTTACAGAAAATCATGGGCTGGAGCTTAATATTAAATGGGCAATTTCAGAAAAAATGTGAGAGGAATTAAGAAATTCTTCATTATTCTAAGGTTCTATACCAGCTCCTGAACAAGAAGACTTAGGACAAAATACTTGAAAAGTATACTTTTGCTTACCTCCTGCTCTTTAAGTTTATAGACTTCTCTATGTGATGCTAAAAGGCTAGGTATCAGGACCTTGGGATGGGTCTGTAACCATTAGGATTTGTGTGTTTGTTAATTAAACCTGAGTCTGAAGTACTATCCACTGGCCCTGGAATTGGAACTAAAAGATTTTCCATGTACTGTTCTGTAAAAATGGTGCATCAAGATTGGTACAGAAATATAAACATTATGAACAATGGCCGCAGCAAACACCAGGAAGGTGTTAATGAGGGAGAAGTTCTGTGGGGCTTTCCTCCACTCTGATTTTGTTTTTAATAACAACAAGGCCCTGGGTCTAGGGGGTGTGCTAATTGCCAGTCCTTTTTGGGCTGCTTGTCCACAATTGTCCCCTTCTCAGATTTACTCATTCCAGCACCTCCCTTGTTTTTATTGTGGCAAAAACTAATGAACAACAACTACAAACAACTCCACATAACCTGAAACAACCTTCCAACATTTCAAAATATACAGTACGATATTGTCAACCACATGAACAGTGTTCTGTGACAGGTCCCTGTGTATGGAAGCACATTCATTTTGATGTTCTGTATTTGGACAGGATCCTACTATCTAAGTAGACTGTGACTTTACTCTGAGTTGTACTTATTTTGCTGTTTCTCTTGTACTTTAGAAAAAGTTTTTCAGTGTTGCGTGATTGTGTGAATGATGAAACAGGCAACTTTAATAACTGAGCAATTAGATGCATCATTAGAGTTCATTTGTCCATTTCATTAATATTAGCCTGAGGCTAATAAAACATTTCCTCAAGTCCATGTGCAGGTCTGAAGAATATAGCCATTGTTAAGAATAACGTGAGAGTGGGCTGAGGATATAATTCAAGGGTGGAGCACTTGCCCAGCATGCATGAGGCTTTGGGTTCCAATCCCAGAACCACAATGAAAAAAAAAAATCACAGTAAGATTATTGGAGAATCCTAGTCAACCTGATATTTCAAACTTGTACAATGTTAATAATAATTACTACTTCCTCTGAAATAGCCCATCATCTTGCTTATGAGAGGATCCGAGAATTTTCTCTTGTCTGTGGACCACACTTTGATAAGGACCTTTATTTTTATTTTTCCCATTAAGTTTATTGGTACATTTTAGGTATACAATACAGTTACATTCATCATTGGGATCTTGTACCTTTATATGACGTATCTTGGTTCTTGTTATTTTCCCCTTCCCCTGCCCTCCCTTCACCCCCTCCACCCTTTCCTACTTGCAAGGACTTTGTTTCCATGTTTTTCCTTTTCTCATATTTTTTCTTCTCCTTTCTTTCCTTTCCCCTACCCCTCCCACTTGCCCTACTCCTTTAGACCTTTTCTTCCAATTACACAATATCAATTATACATTTTTAATTATAATATCAAGATTTAGAGGACATTACCACCACAGATTTTATAGAATTTAAAAGGATATGGAGAGCATATTACAAAAATCTTTTTTGAAATAAATTTGAAAACTTCTATGAAGTACCTGGAAGACAAATCATACCTATATCAATTTAGAATTATTCTCCACATACAAAAAATATCAGTGTGGTCCTCTTGTGCACTAGGACATCTCTTTTCCCATGATTGTATCTAAAGCTTTTCAAAGCACAATTTTCTATTTTATTGCCAGTACTCATTTCAATCCATTATTTTCACCACAGGTAACTAGTTTATCTCTTAACTTTTGTTTTAATTTCAAAGGGGATACAGCATCCTTTAACTATAATATGAGGCAATTGTATTACATGGTTTTATCTCTAGATAATTTGATTCCTCTGCCTTTCTCTTATGATTTTTCAGTGCATTTATAACATCATATATTAAAAGTTGCATTTATTACCTGCATAGTTGCTTTTTTTTAATTTTTAATTTTTTTGGTGAATGTTCAGGCTTGCCAGTTTGTTTGTATTACAGGAGTGTGGTGATTTTTAGGGTTGCGAGACAAGATAATGTCTGGTTAGCTTTCCAGCTTCCTGAAGATGCTCAAAACAAGCCCTATATTACTGAGTGCTTTGAATACATTTAGAATTTTAAAACCAGGTTGGAACTCCATTGTTATTAAAAAATAAACTGAACTTAAATGGCAGGTGGTAAATTCAGTATTCTAGTGATGGTCTAAGTGTATCCAAAGAATTATTTCACCATTAACTGTCAGTGCCCTTCAGTTAAATTGTGCTTGTCTGTGATAAAGTTGTCAGCAGTGTCTTAGCAATAAAGTTTGGTAAACTGTTCCATGTTAAGAGGTCATAGCTCTCATTTTAAACGTCCTTTAGTTTTTTCCAGAAAATCTATTTATCTCCCCCATCTCCTCCCACAACACAGCCCAGCTTTCCCCAAATCCTCCCGGGTCTTCTTACACATCTATTTGTCTTTCTGGTGTGTGCCATGTTTGGGAGTCTCATTAACAGGCATCTGTTCTGTTTTAGGAGAAACCCGACGCCAGCCCCACGTCACTTCAGCTGCGGTCCCAGATCGAAGTAAGCACAATGACATTCTTCGTCTAGTTTTTCTTCTGCCTTTTTTTCTTAAGAGAGACTCTGTACAAATCGGATGAAGCCCACTGCTGTGCCTGCCCTGACGCTGCCAATCTGCTCTCTTGCAGGAGTCACTTGGCTTCTCTAGCGCTGTTTCAACACCTGAAGTGGAAAGAAAGTAAGTCTTCCTCTTTTTACCTGGGATCTGAGTTTTCAGCAAGGTGTGTTTTAGGACCAAAGTGATGGAAGTCAAATGGGCAGTGGTATGTGTGCATAGTTTGGAATTTGGTGGTATTTTTCTTAACATGTGTGTACATGTGTCAAGGTGAGTGAGAGCATGTTTTGCAATCCAGCCAGTGATGCTGTAAGGCAATGAGAAGAGTTATTTATTTCACACAGCTTATTGTGAGGGAACCTCAAATAAGTATGTGGAAATACGCAAAAGGACAGGTAAGTCAACGGACAGGGATTTTCATCTTTTACATTAATTTTTAATATAGGAAGGAAGTTATAAAGAAGCAAAGTACAAAAGTCAGATACATTCCCAACTATAACAACAGTTAAAAAAACGGAGCCACTGCGCTTTGTTTGATAGGTGACCTTTGAACAGAAATGAATGTGTGTGTTAGAAGCTAGTGAATGCCCACTAGCCTTTCCTGTTAAAGGGAATATTTTTTTGTTTCTGTCCTAACTTGGGCCCTATAATTTCTGCTCTTATGGAAGATAATGTTATGTTTTATTTTGTATTTTCAGTATTTCTTTTAGGCAGCTTAAAAAAAGAAAACCACAAAAACAAAACAAAAATTTTTATAACATTTCCTACTTTCTTCCATCATAATTATTCTAGAATGTTCTATGAATGATCTTCTGAGGTAAAGAAATATAAAGAAAGGCCACCTCTCTAAACAGATACTTCCTCAGGCGTAGAGCCACCTGTGCCGTCTCATGCCAAGAGAGGCATAGAAGTGGTTCAGGAATGAAGTATTTCTGGAATGAGAAGCACACGTTGGGAGACGCGTGTGTGTGCTTTGCAGCACAGATCTGTCTAATCCATCCACGTGTGCACTGCTGGCACAGAGGCAGCTTCAGGGAGTAGAGGCTGCTCTGCCAGGAAGCTCTAGTTCTGAACCTACAGGGCCAATTTAGTCTGGTCAGGACTGAGGAATAGCATTGAGGATGAGCCAAAGGAAACCCAGGTCATTGTCCATTCAGGTTAGAGAATAAGTATATGCACAACACACACTGTTCTCATTTTGGTTGTGTTTTAACCTCTCAGGAACTTAGAAATGTGGAGGCTGACTGAGAGAGACAAGATTTAAATTGATGTTGATTTTGAATTTGGAAGCAATGAAGTGGTGGTGAAGTGCCAAATAAGTGGGCCACGGTCTCTCCTGACCTAGTTTACCATAGGTGTTCTCTCTGAATCTCCAGATCTTTCAGGAATCTAGACATGTTTGCCCTTCCACCTAGGAAGAAGTGACTCACCCAATTTGTACTAACCTTAGTTAGGCTGGGTACGTCTTCCCCTCAGTTGTGGTGAGTCATTCTTTCCAAGTTTGTTTCTTGGTACCATGTGGCATGACTCCTGTGCCAAAAGGAGACTGATGGCTTCCTGAGGTTAACAAAAAATTTTCACCACATGTTCATGCACATGCGTGCGCGCACACGCGCGCGCACACACCCCCACACACACCCCCACACACTCTTGACAGCACTCATCTCCTCCATTTGTAGTACTGCCATTTTGCTTCTATATATATATATATTTTTTGAACCGGGGATTGAACTTGGGACCTTATGCTTGCAAGGCAGGCGGCAGTACGACTGAGCTAGATCCCTGGCCCTGCCTCTGTATTTTTAAATGGTTTGGACTTATGTCTTTCTAAACATTTTTAAAGATTTAAAACATTTATGTTCTTCATTTCTTTGTTAATGGCTTTTGAAAACTGGTACTTATTAATTTTTTTTATTTGTAACTTCAGAAACCCTGGTCAGGCATGGTGGTACACACCTGTAATCCCAGCTGTTTGTTGTCTGAGGCAGGAGTGTCCCAAGTTCAAGGCCAGCCCGAACAACTTAGGTCCAGTTTCAAAATTAAAAAATGAAATGGACTAAAGATGTAGCTCAGTGATAGTATGTCCCTGAGTTCAATCCCCAGCACAAAAAACAAAGTAAAATAAAAAAATAAAAGAACTTTATTTTGAAAACCCTTAAATTTACAGAAAAGTTGCAAAATTCTGCAGTGAACTATAAATTTTCATAAGACTCACTGGTTCTTGACATTTGCATGATTTTCCTTTCTCTCTTATTCTCTAGCTCTCATTCTCTCTCTTTTTTCTTACTCTCTCTCCCACCCCCATCCTCCCACCCACCTGTTACTGAACCACTCATCAAGTTGCATACATCATGACCTCCAACCCTAAATACGTTAGCATCTATTTCTTTTCTGTTTTGGAACTGGGGATCGAACTCAGGACCTTGCGCTTGTGAGGCAGGTGGAGCATCTATTTCTTAAGAAGGACATTCTCTTCCAGAACCAGAGTTTTAATAATGTTTTAAGTTTTCCTAATAGATATTTCGTATTCAAGTATTTCTGTCTCACTAATGTCTCTTATCACACTTTAAAAAAAAACTTATTACTTAAAAAAATTACTCTTGGCATATATATGTCCTGTCTCTTTTGTCATATCTAATCTGGAAGCCTTTCTTAGTCTTTCATGATACTGACAGTTTTAAGAGGGTAGGCTAGTTGCTTTGTGAACTATTCCTTTTTGGGGTTTCTTTGTTTCTTTTTCTTTTCTCTACAGGGCATTACATCAGTAGGCATATGATGTCTGTTTGTCCCTTGATTGGTGGCATGAATTTTGATCATTTGGTTAAGGTGGTATTTGCCACGTTTCCTCTGAGAAGTTACAGTTTTCCCTTTGTAATAAAAAGGATTCTGTGGGAGGTAATCTGAGACTGTGTAAATGTCTTGTTCCTCATCAAATTTTTACCTACTGGTTTCAAATTTTTGAAATGATTCTTCCCTGAATCAGTTTTAAATGTAATAGTTACAAAATAGTGATACTTATTCTTAAATTGATGGCTATTTAGATTAAATGTTTTAAGTGGATTTGTTTTCTGTTTTTAAAGATGAGGTGTCACTCTGAAAGCTCTTGGTCAGATGATAATTTGAGTAGATTTGATGCACTATTTATGTCGAACTTTTATTCATTGTACTTGAATGCAAATCTGTTCAAATGGAAAATCCCACTGTTTCTCCCATCAGAATGCTTGTTGGTAGCTTTGCAGTTGAACATTAGAGCTATGGAGGGTGACCTGGCAAACCAGTTGGTTGTGTCTGGTTAGAGTCCACAAAGTATTTGCCAACCAAAATACTGCTGTGACTCACAGTGTTGTGTTATGGGCAGAGATTTTCTTTTGCTTTTTGTTCAGAAGGCAAGAGAATCAGCAAACAGAAGTAGACACATCCTATAGCAGCCACCCTTTGAGACAGAGATGTAGAGGAAGAGCCCACCCCAGGAATGGGGTGCCCACCCCGTGACTTCTCTGGATCCACAGTCTCCCCTAGTTGTCTCTGGGACCTTGTAAATGTGCCTCCTTCCCTTCTCCCAGCAAAAGCCTATCCTAACTGAGGGATCTGGCATGAGTTATGACACAAATATCTTTCTAAAAAATATACTACTTTTCCCAGTGTTGTGTAGCTTTTAACAGCATTTAAAGTCTTAAGTTACAGGAAATCAGCTTTAACTAGAAGACGTGGCAGTGGTGAGTCTTTTGTGGAGATAGGGCCGGGAATTGTACCATATTTGGCATCACAGCACCTAGGTGGCCATGCTAGGTGGGACTGCTCATGTCTAGGTGTGCTGGGCCTGCACACTCATGGACACATTGGTGGAGATAGGGAGGAACATAGGCAGATGGGTCAGTAGAAAGAGAGAATGGATTCTCCTCACCATCACCAGTTTGACAAAATCCATGCTTCCCCTGGGAATATAACAGAGGCTAAGGGAGCTTTCACTTGAGTCCCTTCTTTTTGTATCTATTTATGTTGCCTACTGGGGAGACCGAGTACTCTATTATACTTGTATTTTATTATATTTGAACTTTATTATATCAATTTTGGATTTATGTCGACCGGCTTGAAAGGCGAACATTAGCTGAATTTCTTGTTACCAGCTACTCTTAAGAATATATAGAAAGTAAGGTAAGGTATTTTTGGTGTTGTTAGGTGGGGGCCTGGAAAATATCTTTATAACTGTATCTATGAGGAGCGAGGTCAGCTGTGAATAACAGAAAACCTGACACATAGTGGCATGAACAGGGACTCGTGAGACACATCTTTGTTCCATGGATAGACAAGAGGGGTCCAGGGTTGGCTCTGTGGTTCCACAGGCTTTCAGGAAACCAGACTTGCCCCCTCACCCGCCATGACTTCCAGGTGTGAAGGAGGAGGAGCAAAGTGAAGGGAAGAAAACTACAGGGCAAAAGCCACATCCTTTTTCAAAAGCTTTTCTAGAATGCTTATGCAGCCTATTCCAGTTTCTCCCCCAAGTTCTTCATGCAGCAGCTCTTTAGTGAGCACTTACTGGGATCCGTGATGAGGGAACAGAGTAAGGTAGCTGCATGTAGTTTACAGTTGAAGGCAGAGTGATGCAACAGAAAAAAATGTGCATTTTAAATGGTGGTATTGAGATGAAGAAAGAGGACCCAGACTTAGGTCATTTGCCCGCCCTTACTGTAAGGAAGTTTTCAGCAGTGAGCATATTTAACCAAAATGCACTGCTGCCTTAAACAAAATGGTATAGTCTCCTTAGAAGGGAGAGGAGATGTTCTGTAGGGAATGGGTATTATTTCCTGTAAGAGTTAATCTTTATTTGTACACATATCAAACAAGACTCTGAAAATTTGCTAGATTTCTAACAAATAAGCATTGTGTTAGGATTGTTTGGATTCCATAGGCTTCAAGGAAACCAGCAGTCTGTGAGGCTATCTGGTTATTTCAGTATGTTTCCATGTAGAGATTGTTTTCATGGAGTTGGTTCATATGCACTGGGAATTGGAAAAGAAAAAGTGGCAACACAGGTAATGTTAATTGAGTGCTTATTATGTATCTGAACTTAATGTTGATGTGTTCTGTGCTTCCAACGACCCTGTGAGGTTCCGTATGCTGTT